TCACTCTCAATGCTGTCCGATCACGGATCGACTTTATTTCACTCCGTCGCGACCAGCTCTGGGCCCATAACGTGACGACAAGAGTTCAGGTGGACTATTGGAAGCTGGAATGGTCGATTCGGACAAGAAATAATCGGTTTTATTACGCGAAAATACGATTTAAAAGCATAACTTTATTTAGCTGCTTGATAGTCGGAAAAGCACGTTTGCGATTAAAAAATGGCCATGGATAGATGTCAAACTCAGTGGCGAGATGCCAGATGTGCATATTCGATAGGTGCGCTCACGGTAGTAGGGTGCATGGTGTGTGCTTACCAGGTGAGGAACAAGCAGTGCCCCCGGTTCACACTCCCCACCACGTTCCGGTAATTGATCGAAGGAAATTGATCCTTAGTTGGCATTTTTGTCTCAGATACTCAATGCGGGATGTGCATCTGTGCCGCAATCTGCAAGTTGTCTCAACGTGCAATTGTCACTAAGACAGACATCAATTTCTCTAACGTAGAAATTGTACAAAAGGGGGCTTAAACATGAGCCTTGGGGGAGACCCATGTACACGGGAAAAAAAGAGTTCCCATATTCGTGAACCACAGCCGTGAACCATAGTTCACGGTGTATATTTGAGAAAATTTTGTTCTGGATAGTTGGCCGTGATTTTTAGTTCACGGTCCGTTCCCGTTTTCGGGAACGGATTTTTATCCGAGTAGCTAAATCGAAAAGCTGTAGAGTTTCCATGAGAAAAGCTCATATGTTTTTCTGACAGCAAATTGTACAAAAAATTATTCATTAATGAAGACAATCCACAAGCGTGGAGTTTCTCTGAAAGAACTTCAACGGATACTGAATCAAAAGCCCCCTTGATATCCAAGAACACCGAAGCCATTTGCTCTTTCTTAGCAAAAGCCAACTGAATTTCCGAGGAAAGCAACGCGAGACAGTCGTTCGTTCCCTTACCCCTACGGAAACCAAATTGAGTATCTGAAAGAAGGTGGTTCGTCTCAACCCATTTGTCGAGGCGAAAAAGGATCATTTTCTCCATCAATTTCCGAATGCACGCCAGCATCGCGATGGGCCGATACGAATTGTGATCCGACGCGGGTTTATCAGGCTTTTTAATGGGTATCACCCTCACTCGTTGTAATTCTCGTCTAGCCCGTGGTTTATCCACTCAGGGTCGGCTGGCTTGCTCAAGGAGGACTCAGAAACAAAGCAGACAAAGACACAATAAAGCAGAACAAAGACAAGTCATCCTTAGGCTCGGAAAATAGAAATTTCACTTAAACATTCTTAAATTTTATTCCAACAAGATACATAGGTTGGAGGGTGAGCTCGTTGCGGCCGTTGCTACATCCGATGGGGCCCTTTGGTCCGTTGCATGCGAGGAGGAGGAGTAAGGGAAAACTCATACCTTTGTTGAATGCAGGTTACATGCCAAAACGTGGTCTCCGGGCAGTTTCTGGTTACCGCTTGTGACTACGCCCGGTGCTTCTTCTGTCCGGGGTGATCTTGAGAGGGTTCGTCGTGTGCCCGCCGACGGGAAGTGAACTCATAGGTCAGGAGCCCAATAAGCGGGGGCGGACCCGCCGGACCTTAATGGGCCCTAACCTCCAAAACGTCCGTTCTAGCTTCCACGTCGCGTGTGGTCCAACGAAGTAGCGGTTGGGGCTCGTTGACCACCGGCACCGTAGGGTGTTGAGCAGGGGCTTACTTGTGGTCCGTCCTGGAATGATGTCCAACAGTAACCCTCCGGATGACGTTCCAGGGGGGAATTCCGTGGATATTCCCCACACTAATCACCGAAGAGGGGTTCGAACACGCCGGACTTGCAGCGAATGATCTGGACACGCCGAGGTTGACGCCCCGATCAGTACAGTCACACGATCGTAGTCTTCCACGCTGTATCCTCCAGGCTAGGAGCCGTAATAGTATCCCGGTATCACACTTCACTGACTTCGTGGTTACTTCACCAAGGTTGACTCGTGACCTTCAACCAACCATTGTCACTTGAACACCCGATAGCTGGTAGTGTTTTTTTTGCGCACTTCTGCTCGTTTCGACGGACCAAGCTCAACTGTCTCGATCTCTACAATTCATCTCCTCTCAACCTCCTAGATGCTCCACTCCTCGTCCTTTCCTCTCTCTTCTCCTCCATCTCCTTTGACATATCTCCGGAACTACGAAGACGCATTGTTTGCCATGGTGAGATGTGAGATGTCTCAACATTTATTCCCATGAAGCAGCATTCAATAGTTTTTAGTACTTTTTTGTAGGGTAAATGGTTTAGTGCGGTCTTTGCCGTCTTTTTTATCATTTACAGTAATAGCAATCTAGTAAACCGTACACCACTTTTATTATGTGTGTTTACGAGATTGTTCTTTTTTTTTATCTTTTGTTTTTGGTTCTTATTTTGTCTACATGCAAAGACTTACATGATTCAATTAAGGAGTGCTGGGTGACTAGTTATATGGTTTTTTTTTATTTAGGGTTAGGTATTTCATTATGTGTTGTGTAGCCGGTTCTTCAGGTTATGACCACGGGAGTCCAGCAATGTATATATATGTTTTCAAGTCTGCCTTATATGTGTTTCAAATTGTATAATGTAATTTAACAGACTGTTTTTTTTAATACACATAGAAAACAAACCCCGTGAAGGAAACAGAACACATGAAATAGTAACTTAAAACTACTGTACATTTGAAAGAAATATATCGAGCCGAGCAAGAACAATAAATAAATTAAGTATTTTTAAATATTTGATTACTCCTAATGGAAATTTACTGTGATAAACAAAACTGTGTCCCTTATCTTTTAAGTATAACTTGTCCTTGGACATGAATATTGTGCCGCGCATTGAACCGGTAACATCGTCTCCAATCGTCGGGAACAATATTGAGCTCCAAGAACTGATTGTACAAGTTCAACATGCACCTCTTAGCGACGTCTGGGAGGTTTTTCAGCAAGTTGAACTTGATTCTATATCAGATCCCGGGGCAGAATTGCCACACGAAAGGAGAGCGAGTGAAAGTTCCACCATTGAAAAAGGCTGACTGATTTCGTCAAACCGAATTCGCGGTTTCGCGAGGAATCAACTGCGACGGCACGGAATCCGGACACACTTTTCGAGCGAATTTAAGAATCCATTGATCCGTGCATTCCTCGCTTTCGTTGTTAGTAGACCGGTTACGCATTCTTCGCGCCGTACTCCAAAGCGTATTCAAAGACGTTTCGCGCGACAATCCGTCTACAAACTGCCGCCAGTAATCCCGTTTTTTGGCCTTGATGAGGCTCTTGAGTTCGCGTTCAAGAGATGTGTATGCGTCGAAATGCTCGCGTGTTCCACGTTTCCGAAAAAGTTTAAACGCGTCGGACTTTTTACGGTAAACCTCCGTGCATTGTTGATCCCACCAGAAGAGCGATGGTGGTCGTGTTTGAGCTTGAAGTGCGCTGTCGACGATGAGATTAGAGAGGAAGTTATATTCCTCCAACGGCGGATACTGTATCGTCTATCGCGGATAGGAACTTAGTCCAATCGATGTTACGGGTTAGATCATACGCGACGTTAACGGATTCTGACGAGTTGAACCCACTGGCAATCGAAATTTTGATCGGCAGATGATCACTACCGTGCGGATCCTGGATTACATGCCAAGTGCAATCCAACGATAGTGAATTGGAGCAAAGGGTGAGGTCTAATCTGCTACCATTCGAGGATGGACCAGCCTGTACCGTGGGAGTTAAAATCTCCCATGATCAACCATGGAGCGGGAAGTACCGCACATATGTCGAAAAGTTGTTTGCGATTAACAGAGACTCTAGGAGCAATATATACAGAAGCAATACAAAGGCTCTTACCTTTAATGGTAGCCTGACATGCGACAACTTCAATACCGGGGAATTCGGGAAGATTCACTCTATAGAAGGAATGGCACTTTTTGATCCCCAAAAGTACCCCTCCTCCACGTGAATCCTCACGATCCAATCGAATAATCTATGATAATTTATAACATAAAAAGGGAGATCAATTTCTGAAGAGAGCCATGTTTCACAGAGGGCAAATGCATAGCAATTATTGTTATGGACTAAATACTTGAACGAATCTAATTTCGGAATAAGACTTCGACAATTCCACTGTAGAACAGTGATCAAATCCCCGACCTCGTTTGGAAAATTATCCATCGAAGGAGATGATAGCTGCAAGAAGGGGCCATTTTGAAGTCAATTGCTTCAAGAAGGATTTCACAGTGGGAAGCAATGTGAGGACAATGCTTTTCAGAGGATCAGAAATGTTGAGGTATTTGAGAATACCGTCCACAATGTCATCAAATGAGAACAATCTGGGGGGTTTCTGTTCTTAAAATTGGGGCATCAGGGTTTTTGGAAGTCCCCGGAAGAGGTGGAAAATCCTGGGTATAGTCAGTTCTGCGGAATCCAGGAGGAGTAGATGTCTCCTTTTTTCCACCACTCCTTGATTTGGGCAAGCTGATTTGGGGTTCTTTATTTGCAACAATCCGCGAACGGATGCGCTTTCGTTTCCGTGCAGAACCTGTCGCGATTATTATGAAAAAGTCGATTTGATTTGTTTGCATCGAGGGTTCTCAGATTTTATTTCTTTTTTTCATATCTTAATTCAATTTCCGCTAATTCAATCATAAAGTATTCCTGAAACAACTAAAATCATAAAATTTACATAGAATAATAAAGAATATGACAATTCTAATTCAAATACAAATATTTATGGAATTACTCGGATTTCTGTTTATCTTTAAAATTACAAAATTATTTTCCAAGCAGTGGGAATTACTGAAATGACCCATACATTATTACCCACAATTACATTGAAATTACTGAGTAATTCAAAATTCACTAATTATTTTAATAATCTGTGATAATGTTTGATTACTGATTCCCTTACAAGCTTGATGGAAACCCCTCGTGTCACATTTTGTTCTGTCTTTTCTATCAACAGAAGAAATCAACCATCTTATCAAACATCGCTGCATTTATGTTGATGGCCTGAAGTACAGCTTCTTAGTCAGGGTGGAGTAGATGCTAGGAATCTGTTGCGTATTATGAAATCCTATGTTTTCGGCATTGCATCGTTCGGATACGGCACTTTGTGTTACCGTTAGAATGTCATAAATAGTGTCCTTTTCCAGCTCACAGCTTTCGATTACATGGCACAGGTCCTGAATCAACCAGCTCCCTCTTTGTTCGTCCAGAAATCCGTAGTTACCTGAAAAGTTAAGCTTGATTTAAGCTGGATAAGCTGGAGAAGTACGTTCAGACTACAGAGTTATAACCAAGCGGGGGGGGGGGGGGGGGCAGGTTAAAGCCCTACAAGTATGGAACCGTCAAAATGCACCGCTTTGCTCGATTGGAACAGCTTTTTATTCAGTTTCGTGGTGACAGTCGTCCATACTTTAACTAGAGGTCTTTAGGGGGAGGTGACTGTCAAATACGAACAATCGTCGCCTAGCTCGCACAACTACGCAATACGATTATTGTCAATCAAAGCTATCGTGTAGAGTCCACATTAGAGTATTAAGGTGCACGATTCGAATAATTTCTCTCTCTTTCAAACAAAACTTACTGTGCTGGGAACTCCTCACAACGACCAGATCGGCAAATTCCGGATACGTAAAAATCTCCACCTTCGAGTCGACCTGATCTCTGCCACTGTATCCCATCGGAACGCCACGACATGCTTGGATTATAAACAGTTTCGGTTTTCCAGCCATGGACTTCAAGGTAGTGGGAGTAAATTTCTCAATAAACTCGTACAAATTGTACGCTTTATCTTTGGCCATCAACATGTCATTCTCTTCACCGTGTGTCAGTATCACCACCACTAAGCAATCGGATGTTTTCAGATCAGCGTTGTTTTCCACTGCAAATTAAACCGCTCACAGTAATCCGATCATCATATAAACGATTCACTACTCACGGTTTACCGCAATTCCGTTGATTTCGCTGTCCATCATGTTTTTGTGCACTTCAATATCCTCCTTTTGGAATCCGAGTCGAGGCAAAGCATGGTTCAATCTTTCTACGTCTTTGTCCGTACCGGTTCGGGCCGGATAACTTTCATCATCGAAATTTTCCTGATTGAATATCAACACCTTGCCACGTTTCGCTCCGTTCATGGAGTACAGCTTAGCGTTCTTAGCAGTAGGTGTGGGCAGAACGGCCGGTTTCGATCCGTTACATCTAGCTGCATCTACTTCACTATTACTATCGTGCACCATGATTTTTTTCCTTTCAGCAGAATCTGACTGACGAACCGTACAGTTTGATTTCAGATTCCGAAATGGCTACTGTGACCAGTGAACAGTGAATGGATATATGCGCGTAATCTTGAATTTGCCGTGGACGGTGGTGGTAGAGGTACGATGAATGGACCCTCGGATTATCAATCGGCGACTTCAAAAATCGACGTCCCTGGACTTCGATAAAAACCAAAAAAATGTGATGTGATTCCTGAAAAGCCGGTGAATCACAATTTAATCTTTCATCGAATTGATAAGAGTTGCCAGGCATTCAATAAGCCTGATTATGCGAATACTATTGTGATTTAAAAATCAAAGTGAGGCTCGAAGGTTTCATTAGAAATCGAATGAAATCACAAGGGGAACCGCACCTATTTTGATAAGGGCCGTTGTTGCAATATAAGGCTGATATACGGCTTTATTTTTTTTGACGTAGAACTACGTCTTTGTCGACTATACTGGGGTACAAATCAAAAAATATGTGTAGTGAAATAGTGTTAGGTTTTGATACAAGCGTTCTTTGTCATTTATAGATGTTATTAAAATCCAAATACACCAATCGATAGAATATTACTTAACGAATCTGCTGAAATAAACACTTTTTCAACTTTTAATCAAAAAACTTTTGAAAATGCGCAAATGAAAATTTTATCACTGTTTTCATGAACTTCATGACCACCACAATGAGGAATGAGACTTGGAAAATTATGTATGTAAAACCCCCTCCCCCCCCCCTCTTAACAACAATCTCTCCCCCCCCCCTAAATAACAACCTCTCCACAACAACCCGAAAAAGACATGGACTTTGACGATCACATTTTTCCGGGCAATAAATTTTAAGCAAACCACAATTAGGGGCTGTTCATTAACTGCGTAGACATCAATTTTGCGTGGTTCTACGTCATACTGCGGTCGTGTCTAGGACTAGCACTTAGAATCTGGACAAATTAAACCAGGTGTTTCTTTTAGTCGAAATGAAGGTATTATGTTGTACTTTCATTGACAAAAATTGCAAAATTACTCCGACGGCGTTCAATGATGAACTCGCGGACTTTCTTTGGCATTCCAGCATCATCTTCCGCACACTGGATTGGTCAACCTCTGCGGCATTTTTTTCTCTCCTTCATCGAGCCAACTGTTAAGCGTCCTGAGTCGTCTTTCGAGTGTTTCTTTAACTTCCGGTTGATAATTGCCCAATACTTTTCGGTTGGGTGGAATTGCGGGCAGTTGGGGGGATTGATATTCTTGTCGACGAAATCCGGGCTGTTGTGGCAGCTTGTCAAATCTGGCCAGATCTTCACTGGGCCTTTGAGCGCCTTAATGAAAGGTAGCATCCATTTATCCAGGCACTTTTTCTTATACAGCTTCGAGTCCATCGTTTTGTTGGTGATGAAAAGCTTGGTTTTGAGTCCGCAGCTGCAAATTCCTTGCCAGATTATCAGTTTCCGGGCGAATTTATTGCCTGAAATCCATCTTGGCATAGGTTTCGTCGTCCATGAGAAGGCATCCTCTGTACTTCGTCAGAACCCGGTGCGTGTTCTGACACGGAATGAACGTTAACCTGATCGCAGACGGATCCTCCGGACGGTACTACGACTAACATCGTATTTTTCGGCGACATCCCGATCCAAGAGTACTGAGTTTCTCTTGATCGACCTTAACACCTTCCAGTTCAACTGAATTGCAGGATTGCAACGATTGTTGCCCTGGGGCCTCCCTTAGCTCAGTCGGTAAAGGCGCAGCTACAAAGCAAGACCATGCTGGAGGTGGCTGGGTTCAATTTCCGGTCCGGTCCAGGAATTTTTCGGGTTGGAAAATTTCTCGAGTTCCCTGGGCATAGAAGTATGATTGGACTTGCCACACAATTATACCAATGCAAAAATGGAACAGGCATCGAAAGCTCTCAATTAATAACTGTGGAAGTGCATCTAGAACACTAAGTTGAGAGCTCACAATAAGCTAATATGCGATATGCAATAAGCTTGAAATGCGAAGAAGAAGTAGAAGAACGATTGTTGCCTGAAATTATTAATTATTGTGTTGGACATTTGTTCTAAAGACTCAACATTCGAAATTCTATGTACCTCGGTAATACTGTGCCAGGGAGGCAACTTGAAAATTATCTTCGGAACTTTGTTCTGAATCCTTTGAAGTGCTTTTTTTCCTGGTAGTGCAACAACTAGACCATATTGGCACAGCGTAAATCATGGCCGGTCTAAAAACTTGTTTAAATATTAGAAGTTTATTTGTCAGGCAAAGTTTGGATGTCCTGTTTATAAGAGGATACAAACATTGTATATATTTGTTTCATTTGTCTTGAGTGCCCTCAATGTGATCTTTAAAAGTTAATTTTTGGTCAAGTGCTAATCCAAGATATTTCAATTGGTTTGACCATGGAAATTGGAAATCCGTTCATAGTGACTATGTGGCTTCTACTAGGTTTCTAAAACGAAGCTCTAGGCTTATGTGGAAATATTATAAGTTGAGTTTTGGAAGCGTTGGGAGAAATCTTCCATTTTTGTAAATAAGAAGAGAAAATATCTCAACTTTTCTGCAGTCTGCTGCAAATAACACGAAGACTTCTTCCTTTAGCGGAAATGCCTGTGTCATCAGCGAACAAAGATTTGTGGCAACCCTCAGGCAAATCAGGGAGCTCCGAAGTGAAAATGTTATACAATATAGGCCCAAGAATGCTACCCTGAGGAACTCCTGTCCTAACAGGTAGTCGATTAGATTTGGAATTTTGATAATTTACCTGCAGAGTTCTGTCAGTTAAATAATTTTGAACTAATTTCATAATATAGAGTGGAAATTTTTTCAATTTAGCTATCAAACCTTCATGCCAAACACTGTCGAATGCTTTTTCTATGTCTAGAAGAGCAACTCCAGTTGAGTGGCCTTCAGATTTGTTTGAACGAATTAAATTGGTAACTCTTAAGAGTTGATGAGTAGTTGAATGCCCATGGCGAAATCCAAACTGCTCATCTGCAAAAATTGAGTTCGTATTGATGTGAAGCATCATTCTATTCAAAATTATTTTTTCAAAAAGTTTACTTATTGAAGAAAGCAAACTTATTGGACGGTAGCTAGAAGCTTCAGCTGGATTTTTATCCGGCTTCAAAATTGGAACAACTTTTGCATTTTTCCATTTATCAGGAAAGTATGCCAAATGGAAACATCTGTTAAATAATTTTACCAGGAAAGACAAGGTACTCTCTGGGAGTTTTTTGATGAGGATATAGAAAATTCCATCATCACCTGGAGCTTTCATATTTTGAAACTTTTTAGTTATAGACCTTACTTCGTCCAAATCAGTCCCCCAGGAATCATCAAAAATATTTTCCCGAGAGAAAATATTCCGAAAATCCCGAGCAACCTGATTCTCAATAGGACTAGTAAGACCCAAAGTGAAATTATGGGAACTCTCGAATTGCTTAGCAAGTTTCTGAGCTTTTTCCAAATTTGTGATCAAAATTTTACCACCTTCTTTAAGCGCTGGAATTGGCTTTTGAGGTTTTTTCAAAATTTTTGTGAGTTTCCAAAAGGGTTTGGAACTCGGGTCTAATTTAGAAATATTATTTTCAAAACTTTTGTTCCTCAGGGCAGAGAATCGCTTTTTAATTTGTTTTTGCAAATCCCACCAGATAACTTTCATGGCAGGATCGCGTGTTCTTTGAAATTGTCTCCTACGGACATTTTTAAGACGGATCAAGAGCTGAAGATCATCGTCTATTATAATTGAATCGAATTTAACCTCGCATTTTGGTACTGAGGCAGCTCTTGCTTCAACTATAGAAGTAGTCAGAGATTCAAGAGCATAATTAATTTCATCTTTGGTTTGCAAAGGAATGTTTGGATCGAAGTTATATTCCATAAATGTTCGATATAGCTCCCAATCAGCTCTATGGTAATTGAAAGAAGAGCTGTTGGGATTAGAAATTATTTCTTGGGATATTTCAAAAGTTACTGGAAGGTGATCAGAACCGAAGTCAGCATGGGTAACCAATTGGCTACAAAGTTGACATAAATCAGTTAAGACCAAAGCAATAGTTGAGGGATTTCTTGCTGAAGAAAACCATGTTGTGGTGGTTGGATATTGAATAGTGTAATAACCTGCAGAATAATCATCAAATAGAATATTACCATAGAGAAACTGTAAGACCACTGGTTGCGTCCCTTTTAACCTTATGGTCAGGTTTAAGGAACGTTTCAGTTATAACGGAAATATGCACGTTATGAACTTTTAAAAAGTTAAATAGCTCGTCGTCATTATCTTTAAGAGATCGAGCATTCCAATTTAAAATATTGAATGATTTAAAATCCATTACTGAATTTCAAAGTCAGTTTGAATAGCATCAAACATGAAGTTAGATTTAAGCATATCAGAAATCATATCAATTAATGATTTTTGTAAAAAATCAATTTTTTAAGTCAAAATTTTCAAAATTTCCGTTAGAATTACGTTGGCTAGTATTTTGATAGCTGAAGATGCTAATTATCAAATAACAGACTAAAGTGGTAATTTTTATACGATAGATGAGGAGGTATCCGATCTCGAGGGACACGGGTAGGGTAGGTGCTGCTACTGTACCTTTCGACCAATGACAGTAATTGATGATAAGCTCCCATCCAGAGTTATGTACTTTGACTAACTAACGATTTTAAATTGGCTCACTACTTGACTAGCCTATTGGTCCCAAGAAAATCGATTAACGCACCCCATCCTACTCGAAATTCTAGTACTACACTATGTTTGCTTTGATTCGCTATGAAAGTTTGACAGATGATATGAGGGGTTCGTGCATTTTCCTATGTTTCGAGGGGTGCATCGATTAGCTTGGGACCGAAGAGAGTACCCGAGTTTAGCCAAAAAGTTGAGCACGTTTCTTCGGGACCTTCTAGTCTTAGAGTTACCTCTATGCTATTACCACTTTAGTCTGTTATTTGAAATTAGCATCTTCATGTAAATAGTTGACTTC